AAATTTTTCGATTTTCTCAACTATAACAACTAACTACTAACGATTTGCTATAAAATAATTGGGTATCTTGTCAGTTGGCCCAAAACAATTACTTATTTTTTTTTTCAATCAAACATGGTGATTCAATATACAACCTTATACGCTCCTTCGTTCCTCCACAGTCGTGTCTTAGATATACAAAGTTTCCTCTCAAAATTTTCCTCGCCATAGAGTCGAAAATTATGTTTGCACACTCTATATCCTCAGAATGCCGGAATATTTGATCTATTATATTTTATCTTATTATGTCGTATTCATATCATTATATAATAATGTTAACGCATTCATGAGCAACATAGCTCCTTTCTAAATGATGTATGGTGAGTGGATTATGAAGCACTTTATATGCTATTTATTTAAGGAATATGCAAATTCTGATATTGTTTTAAAGCGTCTTGTCGAGTCGCTAATGACTTGTTTGCGAAGTGGAAAGGACTCATTCTCAGAGACAGAGTTGGAATAATTTGTTGCCAACTATTGGGTTATATATTAACCTAATTTATTTTAATGCTACATTATTCCGCAACCGCAAAATTAGAATCCGTATAACATATTTTTATTTCTTCTCTGTTCCATCCAATTACATAACAGGCAATATAAGCTCTGATAAATTTTCCATGATAAGATGCTTTCGATGCTTATTAAAACTTTCCTCCGAGGGAAAAAATGATCGTCTTCTAAGGCATCTCATATCCCAAATAGAAAGATAAAATAAAAGTGAATGGTCGGCTCGAACCGATTGTCAAGTATAAAATGTCATAAAGAAAGTTTCACGAGTTCTCACTTTCAGATGGCTTTAGATTATTTATTATCTAAGTTTCAGTCGACGAGCAGTTTTATCTTTGCTCCAAGTTTTTTAAAGATTTTTTTTATTGCGGAAAATACGACGGGAGAGGATAAGAAAAATGCGTTTGGCCATGTGAGAAACGTGAGCAATATCTTTGAAAAAGAGAAAACTCTGTGTGCTAATTTTTTTTTGTCGACGTTTAAAGTCTTATTGAATCGTTTGGCACGGTAATAGTATGCCTGTGCCAAAATTTAAGTTTTCATTAAGGTTGTCTCAAAAACTGCTGCACCGATTTAAAAAAATTAAAGGCCATTTGTTGAAGTAAGACTTCTTTAGAATTAGCAGAAAAGTGAAAACATTTTTGTTATCGTTTTTGCCAAAAGTGCTGAACCGATTTTATA